GAGAATAAAAGTGTGAGATTTCAAATCAATTCTATTGTCTTTCTTCACAATATTCCATGTGTTTTTTCGAGCTATCAATGAGGCAAAAGAATATGTTACTTGGTTTTGAGGCTAACACAGAGCAAACCAGAACTCGAAATTGGATTATATAGCCGTGTAGATTACTAATAGACCATAGAAACCAATTCAGTAGAATTTAGCTTTAAGTCTTTTTAAACAAAACTTTACTATTAAACTGTGATAGTCAAAAGACACAAAAGAAATCAAGAATGCAATCAAAGCGATACCAAGGTGTCTTTGGGTAMTATCTATTTCACGTGTTTTCTTGACCTTACTCTATAATGCTTTCGATTGATTGAAGAGGKTTTCATTAACCTGTGAAATATACTTTAGCGTACTCCAGTCGCTTTTTATTATTTGTTGGAAGCATTTCATTGTCTTTTCAGTGTATTACAGATTATTATAACCTTTGCTCTATGTACACTTTGTTTCGCTGGTTTATGGAAATCGTTTTCAATGGCATCCCCAAGAGATTGCAAAAGATACAAGACCGGCGGCCATGTTGGAGGAATGAACAATAGATACTAATGAGAAATCCTTTGTGAAGTTCATCCACGATGGCTGCTGTGACGCATAGTGAATACAAAGAATAGTGCAAACTGTTGCAAGATTACATGCACTATGAAATGAATCTTACTAAAATAGTACAATAAAATATGCACTCTGATTAATTTGTCACCGGTGCATAACTTATTTGTACAAAACGTGACAAATGCAGGMACGATAACAAATTCTACGCCTCAAAAAAATATATAAATAGAACATCGAACAAAGATCAGTAGCCTGATGATCGCACAAGTTGCGTGAAACTCGAGTAGTTTATAGTCCTTGTAAACATATATATAAGTAGTACCATGTGCRTTCTGATTGGTCTTGAGTGCAAAACACTGAAAAGATGAAAAGCTTAATCCTCAGTAGACGATTTGCGAATTCCCCCTCAGTAGTCACACACAAAGGAATCAACATGAGGAGGTGTGCATAATATTTAGCCATTCCTGAAAAGATTACAGTTTTTCACGATTGACTGAGCTTTATGCACAGCGCCTCGTCTTGATTCTTTTGTGTTTGACTGAGATGAATTCGCAAATCGGCTATTGTAGGGGAATAGGGAGAACCTAAATCAAGTAAACTTTATGGGAAGGTGAAGAGGGGAAGCTGAGCTGGCACAAATAGTAAAAAGTCGTATATTCAAATTATGTACCCGTGTCCCCTCCCCCCACCCCCTACGTTATTGCTGAAGTATGCGAATTCCTTTGATTTTTAACGCCCAACCTACATCATACTGCACTATTTGGCTGGTATTTTTTCACTTTTCTTTTTGGTTTCCATTGTAAGTCCTGGTTCATATAATCGCCGCAATCGCTCCCAATTGATTTGAGAAAGCTAGAAAAATCGCGCGGTTTTGGGCTATTGTGAGAATCCGGACGATGACATGGGCACTAGGCCTAAGAGCGTGTTTCATCGCTCACGAGGGGAAGCAACGTTTCATCTTAGAACCAATAACCCAAAAACCCGGTATCATCTTACGCGATGTATGTCACTATTTGAAATAAGCTAGAATCCCTTAAACTAGGCCTAAGAGCGTGTTTCATCGCTCACGAGGGGAAGCAACGTTTCATCTTAGAACCAATAACCCAAAAACCCGGTATCATCTTACGCGATGTATGTCACTATTTGAAATAAGCTAGAATCCCTTAAGGCGATAGCTTTCAGTAAATAGACCTATAAGCCCACGATATATCATATAACCAATGTCAGTCCAGACACATCGATAGCTATCTAAAAGATAACATATGACTAGTAAACGCACATCGCCGCCGTTAGCACTCGTACATCGATTAACTTAACAGCTGGAATTCCTATTCACTAATAATAMCGTATAATTGATAGTTAAGTATCGTTTTCCTAATCTCTGCCGGTGCTGGAGTGTTAAAGGGGTTMCTACAGCTGCGAGAATGGCTCTTGTAGCAAATTAGAAATGATTTACTATAAAAGTTGCGCAGTTAAAAAAACCGTGTCTAATAACGTCATAAACTCGAACATTTCASTATAGGATGTTTTAAAGTCAGCCATCAAAAATGCACATTTTGAAGAGTTAGGTCATTAAGGCCGTGAAACAAAACTTGACTCAGTAAAGTGTGATAGTCGGCACAAAAGAAAACAATGCAATTAGAGAGTACTAAGGTGTATTCGTGTAATATATACACCCTTTTAATAAGTCCCGAGGTATTGTTTTTTCTCCGCACTTGACATCAAATTTATTCTTTTGAAATTTTTGCAATACAAAAGGAATTCAAAAGAATAAATTTGACGTCAAGTGCGGAGAACGTAATAACTCGGGACTTATTAAAAGGGTGTATATTTCACGGTTTTTTTACAACTTATTATCCTTTATTCCATCGGTATGAGATGATCACCATAAAGATGAAAACAATATTCTAATGCTTCAGTGTATATCACATACATTGAAATAAAAAATAATAATAAACGATATAATTTATTTATACTCCATATAGGAGCCCTCTTCAAATACAAGCAGAGTAAAAAACAAATTCAGTGCGCGATACAAATGCAAGGTCCTACAATGACTTAAATTTATAGAGTCTGGATTTCCTATGACTGTGCGAAAAAACGCTGCATTTTCGTGCCGTGACTGTACCGTGCCGAACCAGTTTAAAATTWGGAAGTCAGCTGTGATGGTGTCACTATTTTGGCTTAATGATATTTCAAAAGCTATTAGTCAACTTCCAGAATGTGATAATCGGAAAATATCTTTTTATTATTACTATTTTATTGTATTCTATTTGATAAGATTTTATTCTTTTCACATAATGCTGRAAGATGGTTGTGATTTTGTGGACTTTTGAAAGTGCAGATACCAAAAATGCAAAATTCAAGTAAACGCAATATATTTTGTTTACCTTGGTTTTGTTTTTAACCTGAGACAAAAGGACTCCTAAAAAGAATATATATGCTTCATTCAGTGTGCAAAAATCTAAAAATTCTCAATRAAAATTTGTAGAAATATTATGTACTTATTGACTGAGTGTGCGGGCCGTACGGGAAAATATTTGGCTCGAGGTTATGCCGTACGGACCGAGCGCAGCGAGGTCCGTACAAATGACCGAGAGCCAAATATTTCCCCGTACAGCCCGACCTATCTCAGTTAATAATCATTTTATCATATGACAGCGTTTTTTAATGTAAAAAAAATAAAAGCGCGCGGAACTTCAAGCCGGGAAAATACGGGTTTGTACGGCCCTGTCGCGAAAAGGCGTACGGCCCCCATCACGTGACCATTTCCCAAAGGTTTTTTAAGAGCGCACGTAGGGCCGAAATACGGGTCATATGATAAATAGGTATATAAATGATTGTATAATTTGCTTATTATACATTTCTYCATATACACAGCTATTTTAGAAAACATCAAATATTGAAGATAGTGWATTCCAAGACTGAAATGCATTGTTGGTCATTCTATCACCGTTCAAAACGAGTTTTGATGGTTTTAAAACATTGGCATTATCAGCTCAGTATAATCAAGAAAGTCATTGTAAAGCTATTAAATTTAGAATTTCCATTTTGTAACACACCYACAGTGGAGTTTTRATTAATTACAACAACATATGCATTGCAGTCKTGGATATACAAYKCCCAATGCAGTATTGATCACTAATCAATGTTTTCTGAAAAGGCGTACATAAATTTTCAGCTAGATTTGTAAAAGCCCTATGTTTCAGTWCGGATTTTCATTGCKACTAGACTYGAATAGCACAGCTTCTTAATGAAGCATCATATACTTTAATATTTCGGAGGCCATTTTGTCAAAGATTGAAAAACAATTATCCTAATGAGTGGCGGACAATGGAAACTTGTCTATTCTAAGCGCAATGTACACTATAGTACGACTCAAATGAAAGTCAGTATAAAAGTATTTTGATATTATCTTAATAGATACCGATACTGATGCTAAAGGATTGAATATTGCAAATGATGACCCTTTACAGAACATTTTTCATGCTGTTGAGTAAAAAGATAAATTTGACACCGCAAAAAAGTAGGTGAAACAACTTACTGACGTTTCGGACGTTAAGCCTTCGTCGGAGAACTGAAAGAGAAGGATTAACGTCCGAAACGTCAGTAAGTTKTTTCACCTACTTTTTTTACGGTGTTAAATTTATCTTTTTATACAACTGTTTCTTTAGAAACACCGACGCAGCTCACACTAGTTTACCGCTRCAGTTTCCASTAGGTTTTTAAGAGATAGCAAGGAATGTCGGCCAATTGATATCCCTGAATAGAAAAAAGAGCAGGAATTTGTGGAAACGACACTTCATCCAACATTGTGCTTTATAGAACTTAAGCCAAAGAAGCTTTAGATATTTACCAAAACTYAAAAAGGGYTTCCTGTGTTGAGCGTAGTGCCTCGGGCGAGGCCACGATCGGAGACATGTTGTTATCCTAGCTTAAGAAATATGGGATATATTAAACATTTGAAGCTAMTTAATTCTATTCCTGGACTTCTTAAAGAGGGTTTTATCTAGGCCAAGGTCGTTAAGTACATAACTATTTCATGTATGATCTTTGAATGGCAAACAGCAGTCTTGAATCTATAGTCGCTTCAGCCGGAGTCGTATCCGCTTTTATCTCARTGTAGACTGATAAAAACCTAAAAAACATTCCTAGCTAATTGACCAAGCGTTGGTCTTTATCTTTGCTAGATGCTTACAGTAATTGTCAAACTTATTTTATTAGCGTTTAATTAACTGGCCGCGGTAAGATTTAAGAGAATCGAAATCTATGCATTCCTAACCTTTTTAGCAATTACACTAATTGAATATCTATGGGGTTTTTTTTTCTCTAGATAGCTATACTAGGTCACACCAGCCCGTAGGGAAAATAAATGAAAGGTTTTAAGATAGTTTTTAAATGTTTTTCAGATGTTTCTCCCGATGTGAACAATTCGAAAGCAGATATGCCAGTYGTCGACTTACGCCTSGTGAAGCAAGAAAGATTCGATGATGATGRGATACAGAGGGAACAAATGGTATTGAAAAGAAACTGGAGTGTGGCTGACCAAGATCTCCAAAGAAAGAGCAGAAAATCTCTGTTAACAACCGAAAAAAACTCGAATGACATTGCTAGTGAAGAACACGGAGACAATCAAAGACAAACAAAAGAAACAGAGCAGTTTTCCTACCGCGTTCCAATTGTGTACCCCATTCAATCACCACCAATCGATTATCAATCGATTTCTAGAGAGCATTCGCCAAGCACGAAAGAYTATCGATTAGAAAGAGAAAGAAGCGAGAGTCCAAAACAGTTGTACGAAGAGACACCTACGGAGAGTCCAAGAGACTCTGGCACTAGACTTGAAGACAATTCAAACTTCACATATTCAACTCGTTATTCGCCTTCGCAGAAAATCAGCCCGTACTCTCTGAGCCCGCGATCTGAATCAAAAGACGACAGCAGGATATCGCCTAAAGGAACAAATCTCTCAAATAGTTCACGACTCGTTCAGAGCACAGATGAAAAAGGAGCATCGACAAAGCGGCGAAGAAAYATGGACGGCTTTATCGCTCTCGATAACGAGAAAGAAGAAGAATCTCTTTGGAAACAAGTACAAAGATATCGTCATCGCAAGCGACTGCCACTCGGAAAACTAATGGCGACACAAGAAGAAACAATATTTATGCAATACAACGAATTACGTGAACGCAGACACCGAGAAGGAAGAGTAACTACTGCTCGTCACATAAGGCCGCAGTCAAACGACACGGCCACGGAACCCGCACGCTCACCTCCCGAGATCCATCCCGAAAACGAGGCTAAGGGTGACGCTGAACCGAGGATACCAGGATCTCTGTCTCCACAGCTGAGTTCTTCAAGTGAGAAAATTCCAGAGCGCATACCCACATACGTAACGTCTAGACAACGCGTCGTTGATTTGCCGCCAAACGGAAAAAGCGTAACGTACGTTTACGTTACAGGTMCAGGATCACTTCCGGCTAACTCATCCAATCCTGATGTGCATCCGGTTATTTACGATAGCAACACTGAATGCAGAAATGTTGATCAAAACGATAATCAACCAAACAGGAGCAGTCAAGGTTACCATGGATACATGTCACAAGAGCCTGCGAGGTGTCATGGTTACGAACCACGTGGTGTTGATGCAAGGGGACGAACATCATTAAGAGCAGGAGCAGTAGAATGCAGAGGGTTTGCTCCTTATGATGACTGTTACCATGACAATTATCACAATCACAGACCCTACTGCTCGACCCCTCGATATCATTCAAATGAGAGTTGCCATGGAAATAGAAAGCGTCGAGTTCATGGGTGGGATCATTACTGCTGTCGCCGAAAAMGAGCGAGACCGGCRRMTTCTAGCGAAGATGATGATGACGAATACGCCATTGATAACGATATTCCTCGATGGTATTCGAARGAAAGACGATTAGACACGCGAGACAACGAAGATTTGTATCTTATTGAGAATCAAAATGGTGGTCGACAATGCTCCCCTGATTCCGCTGATTCACGAGATAACGACAGCGTTGAAAATGGACCAACTCAWGCTCAGTTCTCACTGGAGAAYAGTGAAAATGGACAACAGGAGAGCAGCCCAGTAAGGAAGGATAGCGAGGACAACCCGCCTTCTTTCACTCATCTTGGAGAMTCAGCACGACAACAGGAAGATGACGTCGTTTGTCAAGTGAATGGCTTGTTTTCATTGCCTGGTTACCGTGAAACCAAATATGACATYACAAAAGGTGAGCTCATGCGTCGAACAGGACTACCTGAAACCCTGACTCGCGTAGAGATGATATCTTACGTAAGACAAGCGAAAACGTCCGGACGAATAYTATTGGACACGAACGGTATCACGACTTCTAATCGATCGCATCCGACGATTTTGTCGCGCGTGTGTGAACGCGAGGCCCAGGTTCTTGCATGTGGGATTCACAARATGAATTTAGAGTATCTTCCGATTAAAAGACTTGTTCAGACATGCGTAGATATGTACAAGTCCCGCGGCTGTGATGGATGCCAGGATTGTCGGCTCAAGTTGAGAAGACGACTGGTCGACGTCGAGATAACGAGGTATGATATTCCCTCCTCCTCCTCCTCACAGAACAGATACACTTTAGACAATATTAATAGCAATGACAATGATAAGCAATATTCTTCGCGACATAGTCTACGATTTTTGAGAGGATTTGTGGAATCACCTCGAGTGTGCAGACTGTTCAAATGTATGATACAATCGCAGCAAAAGTTGTAYTTCTTATCGCGCGACAAAATTAATTGGTATAGGATATAAGCAGATATGAAATTTCCCAAACCTCATAACTGTCTCTTGTAAACATTTCACAGTAAACCAAAAAAAGGAAAACTTAGACTAACCAACAAGTAACTGAAAATATWTAAACAATATATATTGTAACGGGTTTCTTTAACATTTGTGCTTTTTATAAACTAAAGAGCCCTAGACTGAGCAACTTGCATAAGATAATCAGAGAAGCACTAATTTTTGATTAGAAAGTTAGCACTTCTTTTCTGATCATGTGGGGCCTAAAGAGACTGCAGTACAATGGAAAAGTGAGCTGCGTTTTCAACCACTGTGTAACGTATAGAATATGAGCAGGAGACATTTAAGACATTTAAAACTGCGAGTTTCAAGCGGGCAGTTTTTGCAAATCAGGATAAATCTCGTGCTCATATAAAAATGCGGTCATCGGAAATGAATTTCCACTGTGTTTACCTGATGAATTATTGATGAATTTGATAAGTTAACATTGTCTTTTTTTTCAATCTATAGAAATACCCTAAAGGAGTTTCATCATGTTTTACAAGAAGCGAAMGCAGATGGGACGCTCGACTCATTTGAACTCGCATCACATACTTTTGGAGCAATCAATCTTACAAACCACCTGAGGCTAATAGACGARTATTACAAACAGCTTTTACTTGCCATAGACAAAGAATAAAGCTACGAACASTTCTGTCAAGGGGATTTACAAAGAGGTTTTCAAAATACCGTGAAATATTGTTCATCAGTACAAACAATTGATCGTTTTCAGCCATTCCTAAGAGATTCAAAGGATAAAAGACCGGCGGCCATGTTAGAAGAATGAGGAATAGRTACCAATGAGAAATTCTTTGTTAAAGTTCCTCCAAGATGGCCGCTGTGACGTAACCTGAAAACAATSAATAGAGGCCATGAAATAGCGCGCGAAATAGAATTAATCATTCTATATTTAATTAATAACTCTCATTTGAGCGTTTTTCTTTGTCTTTTGGAGTAAAACACTTTATTACACTTTGGTTATTACATTTTGTTTCAAGGGTTAAAAAAAAACACTCCGATATCCGTGAAATCTAGGTAACTCTATTTCTATTMAGTGAAGTCATTAATCCGTGAAACAAAATCTGACTGTTAAAGTGTGATAGTCAAATAGACACAAAAGAAAGCAATGCAATTAAAGAGTTCAGTAAAGTATTGGGGTTAATCAATTTCCCGCGGKTTTTTTYGGTGGACTTCACTCTAGAGTGAAAACACTAAAAACATGAAAAAGAATGTATACAAATGTAGCCAAGGCTGCTATGATGTTGAAAATGTAAATAGTTGCACGCTTTAGAGTGATCGCACTCCTCACAACTGTACAAAATCTAAGTAGTACTAATTTGTACTAAAAGTGGACCTGAAGCAAGACGGTATTGAATGCTTCATTTGTATCAATTCAATTTAATTTGCGTACCACATGCTCGATTTACAAAATACAACTAAATAGAACTATTTAGTTTGTATAGTTGCACGGATTAAGTGCGATCACTCTATATTCTACTGTCTGTTGTAAACAGTACTTTTCGATGTTTATCATTTACCACACTTTGTTTCACGGACTTATATGAAAGCCACTTTGTTGAAGCCAAGTCAAGTCAAAATAAATTTAATTAAAATCGTTTTTAATAAAATTGGCAAGATTTTTCGGTATGGATTCTAGTGTAGACTAAAAGACTAAAGGCCGTGTCACACTGGCGTTTTTTTCGTGCAATTGTGTCGTGCAAAAAAATGTTGAAGTTGCACGAGCGTTTTTTTACGTGTGACACCCCCTCATGCAACTTGAACATTTCATTTTTTTGTTGAGAGAAAAGTAGAACTGGCTTCTACTTTTTTCAACATTTTCGGAAAAACGCGTGTGTGACATGGTCTCTTGCAACTTCCAAATTTTTCAATTAGGCGCACGAACCCATAATAAAGCGAGAATCTGTCCTGTTGTCACTTGTTGTAATAATCAACAAAGATGCCCGACGCCATCTTTGGCGAAAGCGATAATTTTGAAGAAGAAAACGAGACAGAAAGTGAGATGATCGTACATTTTCGATTTACGCGTGCAACTTGAACATTTTTTTGTGCGAGCTAAGTTGCAACGGAATTTTGCTAGTGTGACATGGCATCGTGCAACTTCAACATTTTTTTGCGCGACACAAGTTGCACGAAAAAAACGCCAGTGTRACACGGCCTTAAAAGAAGAAGGCCGATACTGGTTTGGTTCAGATCAATCTAAAGAACTTGTAGAATTTGAAAAAAATTTAAAAATACAAATCACCCAGCGATGCTGATTGGAATGGCTAAATTAAAGAAATATTTTGCGTGTATGCTTAGGCTTTATTCATTGATAATAAAATTATAATAAATAATTATTGATAATATGCATGTAATAGTACGAACGATGGTAGAGCGAGGTTTATTTTCGTCGGTAAATRCACGTTCACTCAACGACACCCAAATCACTCGTAATTTTTTAGCCTTTTTTCGTGTTCACCCAAAATCCCCGCTGCTTAAATTCACCGATAAATRCACGGCAATCCATCCTTTATTGCTTAAATACTGTYATTTACAAAAATTCTGACCGTTAACATATRTCATTATATCGGGTGCATCATGGGTAATCGCATGTGATTCTTGTTCTTTTCTCACTAAAACCGTTCAACAAATACTTTGAAATGCTCATTTAAGATTATTATGAGAAAGTAATATCAAAATATCAACTAGATATAGAGTTAGCTCGTTAAAACCGTGAAACAAAATGTAACTATGAAAGTGTGAAAGTCAAATACAGGGGCGTATCCAGGGGGGTCACAGGGTGCCTGTGACACCCCCTTTGAAAGCCAAAAAAGCGTGAAAACCAATGAAAATCCTGGATACGCCAGTGAAATATGACAATACAATACATTAGTATAAACATACTAATGGTCTATCACTCATACTGCGCTGTGATTGGCTACTCTACTAATGGTCTAATTTGTGATAGACCACTCTCGGGAAAATCAAAATAAATAAATTATAAATTACAAATTATTTTAAGGATATTTCAATTTGTTTTCATTATTTGACGGATTAGTATGTTTATACTAAAACAATTAGACCTCTCGTCCTCGTGGACTACGAGCTAATAGCCCATTCGGCCTCGCGGACTCGGCCTCATGGGCTTTAGCTCGTAGTCCACGCGACCTCGAGGTCTAATTGTTAAATAGACGAATTTAGATATTTTGGTTCAGTGATCATGTACAAAAGAATTGCAGACGAGGCTCCGGGGAAATAAAAGAATAAATCAAGATTATCCATTGTTTTCCCGGAGCCTCGTGTGCGTTCTTTTGTACATAGTCATTGAACCTAAATATATCAAGTTGAYTATTAGAGCGAACTATAAGTGTAGTACCTATCTCACGGGTTTTTTGACTTTACTCTATACACGGAGGCATATAAAGTAGTGTGTAAAAGTATTTAGTGTCATAATTTGAAGAATCACTTTTGATGATATTTGAATGGTTTGATTACGATTCAAATATCCTAAAGGCACAAATTAGCACAACACCTGAGAATTTCTGGGTTCGTTTAGTGAATACTACAATGACAGGCGTGTGACACGTGTGTTTGTAGAAATATTAACTTATAAATTGTTCAAGTCTTTAGAGTAGTAATATGTAACAAAAAAAACAACAACAACAACAAAGACAAACAAACAGAAAAAGAAAAAATGAGCTTTGACCATATGAAGACGATTTTAAGTCACTTATGAATGAGACATAAAACAGTTATTTAACATTGTCCAGTTACTTGTTACAAAAGGTATATTGTTAGCATTGGTCTCATGGGACTAACGAGAAAAATGGTTATGCAAATTAATCCCGTTGGGCATTATCAATACTCACTAAAAAAATAAAAAAAATAAAAAATAAAAAAAAAATAAAAAAAAATCAATACTCACTGTAAATTTCGTAACCTTTCTAATCAAGGTTTTGGTTTTTAATTCATATGAAAACGGCTTCTTTGCCTATTTAAAAATGAAAATATTAATGCAGTGCTTGAAAAGCGTCTTCAAGTATGAAATAAGCCAGATAAATACCTACGGCCCCTCGTGCTTTATATGGCTTATTGCCTCTGTTCTCGGTATTTATCTCTTAATTAATACAACAAGAGAAATGTAATAAAGACCGAAATAATACTGTTCGGCAAGTTTGTATACACAAACATGCACACGCTGCACTTTGAGATTTTTCGACTGCCTGACGTTTAGTCCCAGAACTTACGTCATGCAGAGAGTCCCTGGAAATAGCGTTACAAGTTACGAAGTTACAAAGTTACAAAGTTACCAGCTTAAATTCTGTGACATACAAGCCATTGACAAGCCCTACTACTACTACTTCTGTTACCCTGTTACTTTGAGATTTTTCGACTGCCTGACGTTTAGTCCCAGAACTAAACGTCAGGCAGTCAAATGTTTGAAAAATACAGACATACCAGTGTTGTGGAAGTGAAATTTTCTAACCCTTTCTGTATCAGACCGTCCCCCTTCAACCATTACCAAAACAATTTATCATTGTCCCAGCAGTCTATAATTAGACCATTGTTTCTTCATTTTGAAGGGATAATTATTAGGATATTTGATGGACAGTTAATGATAAAAATAATTGGTTCACAGTATAAACAGATAAAAAAGTGTTTTATTTGGTTCAATAGCCACAACAACAAAGACAAACAAATTATATCAAATGTATAAAGTGAACAATAGATGCATTAAATGTCCTTATCAACTGCATATCAAATATCATAATCCTTATCCCTTCAAAATGAAGAAACAATGGTCTAATTATAGGCTGCTGGGACAATGATAAATTGTTTTGAAGGGGGACGGTCTGATACAGAAAGGGTTA